GAGGGAAGGATGAGGGGCTCCCTGAAAAAATAATCTTCTTTAAAGTAGTTATGATTAGGGTTAGGATTAGGCATTCATTTTTGATCGTTAGAGTTAGAGTAAAGGGCTCAGGAAAGCATTATGTCAATGGGATGTCACCAGGAGGATAGCAAACCAGACGTGTGTGTATGTGTGTACCGTGCGCACGCTTACCATCCAGCATACGCGTACATCCCAGAGTAGAAAGCCAGTGGCATACCAGAGAGCTGCACATTACTCAGGTCAAAGGCATTCTCAAAGTGTCTGGTTTCTCCTGCAAGCATGCACACACATCAACTGCTACATTTGCCGTATTGTGCAAGATGTCTTGATGCATTCTCAATCATCCAGGAAAGTAAATTTCCAAAAGTTGATTCTGGTCATCTGGACGTAGCGTTTTGTGGGAGAAATGTGAATTCTTAAATCATTTTAATATCTTTAACAATTGCAATCACAGAAATGATCACAAAGCTCTCTGTATACCTGAGGGCTACTGGAGACACTGGCCTCTCTACATGAACTCCATGGTTGAGTTATTACATTAATTGCAATGATTCACCATCAGCTGTGCAAATGTAGATTTATTTTTTACAACGTTAAAGCTGGAGGTTGCCTTCTGCAGAGGCTTCAGGAGTACAGTGCTTCATTATCTCTGTGCACAAATGACTCAGCCGGGCACACAAAGAAAAATCAGTAATTACATTTGCGTGTCAATGAGTAATTCGTTTTCTGAAGTTAATTAAGAAATTTCTTTGAATTAATAATTTGTTCACATTAGGAAAATGCTGAGTTAAACAGCCCAAAAGTATAATCAAGTTATTAAAAGTATAATTAATTTAAAGGTCAAATTCATGAAGAAGATTTATTTAATTTATTAAATATGCATATATGAGTTGCAATCTGGGCTTACGTTACAGAAATGTGGACAGAGTGAAAAAGATTAAGAGAGATAAACTGAATAAATACAACAGATTGTGTGCAGTCCAGGGCTTGGGAGAACATTATATACATAATGTGTACTAACTTTACTGTTTTAAGGAATGAATACAAAGAGCGCTCACTGACACATACAGTATTGCTTCAGAGAAACATTTTAGATTAATAACATTTTAAAGTACAGCAAAGTCTGCAGTTGAGAGGAAGACAGAAACTCCACCTCTAAAATCCTGCTGTGCGGACACCAATAAATGCTCGACCTGTAGCATGCTGTGAGCAGGTGTGTATGACACGCAGGATTCATGTTGAATCACGTGCAGCTGAACACTGTGTGCAACCCAGAACACTCAGAATTTTGGTGGTGTACGTGTGCAGTGCTAGAGAGGTGTCACTGATGATACCTTTAAATAGCTGGTACATGCCTGGCACTATTATGATGGCAATGGCCAGAAGCTTGCTGACAGTGAGGAAGATCTGAATCCTGGCTGTCCACGTTACGCTCATACTGTTCAGGTACATAACAGACGCTGCAGAGAGAGGGAACCATGTCAAGCAGTCATACAGTGTTTGTGACCATATTGAAGGCTCACCATCAACAGAAAAGTCTAAGCTAGTCATATCACATTATTACATTTAGTAAGTGGGATTACTTTCTATGAAGTGACTAAAGATCAGATGTCCCTGAATGTTGTTTTCTGTGCTAACGTCAGTCACAACCTGTGCCTTACAACAGCGGTCCCCAACCTTTTTTGCGCCACGGACCGGTTTATGCCCGACAATATTTTCATGGACTGGCCTTTAAGGTGTCGCAGATAAATACAACAAAATAAAACTAGTACCGGTACCAAAAAAAAAGGAAATTTATTCATAACACACGTGAAAAGAACGATAAAAACGATAACAAAATAACGCTGAAAACCGATAAAAACCCTGAAAACTATACATTTCACACCTGAGCCTCAACTCTCGTGGCCCGGTACCAAACTACTCACGGACCGGTACCGGTCCTAGGCCCGGGGGTTGGGGACCGCTGCCTTACAAGAAACCAGTTTAGAATTGAAGGAAACATTTTGTAAGCTTTTTGATAACCAGATGCCTTTAGCTACATTTGGGCGTGGGGGGCATTTGTTTTTGTCAAAACATGTTTATATTATATTATATTATGATAATTATATAATATACGAATATATCAAGTGGTGTCTTTTCAGTCTTCCACTTCACTCCAGCTCACCCTGTACTGGGTTACTTGGGCCCCTCAGCCTTGTATCCCACTGACAGGCGTTCAGAAGAGAAAGCAGAGTTGGAGGACCAGGGTCCCTGAGGTAGTTAAATTACTACTGGGTGGCAGAAACTCTGGATTGGATGAGATTCACACTGAGTTCCTCTATGTTTTTGGACTCTCTTGCGTTGAGTGGAGAACTGAGGTGGAGTCTCTGTATTGGCAAACTGTGGTTACAATTACCATCTTTAAGAAATATCCCTTTTCGAGGATATTTAATGTGCGTCAGTATTTTCTTCTAACCATTCTACAAATGTTTTGTACGTTTGGAGAAGGTATCTGACTGCATCCGTCAAGGTATCCTGTGGCAGGTGCTACAGGAGTATGGGGTGCCTGACCCACTGTTCCAAGCCATTGTACAACTACAGCAAGAGCTCGGAACGTCGGAAGGTCGCTTTGTTGGAAATAAGTGGGACTAATTTGCACTGGGTGCTGGACGGCACTAAGGCATTTCTGTGTCACTGATTATGTTCAGAATTTCTATGGACAGAAATTTTAGTTGGAGGCAAATTATGGAAGGCTTCAACTTTGGTGGCCTCATCTCTGCTTTTAGTGGGTAAAGTAGTTCTGCTGGCTTCATCAGAAATAGAGCCAATACCCCTCCGCAATGACAGGAACCAGTTGAGGTGGCTCAACAATCTGCCTAGCACCCTTCCTGACTGGCCTCAAGATAGACCCAGGACATGCTAGAGGCATCACATCTCTCGACTAGACTGACAAAGCCCTGATGTTCCCTCAGATAAATGAGAAGGATCAACTAATTCACTCAGCTTATCCTTTAGTTGGGAAACCATGATGCAATTATTTATTCCATCAATAATTTGTTGTGTTGACAAAACAAATTATACTTTATGTTCAAACATTTATGATATAAACAAAATGTCCTACTTTTGACAGAATTCAAACTCAGTTATTTACAGTGCTGGACGTAGGAAAGTTTGGCTGAATATGAGAAACTGAGCAACTATCAGTGTGTATAATCAGTGGCCCAGTTTAAAATGCTCTGAAATGCTCATTCATGTGAATTTGCTATACTGGAGATTGTATTAGTATGATGTGCCCTATGTTTGTGTTTAGAAGGTTGATAAGCTGAGGATAGTCCTGGGTCTTTTTGTCAAACCCCGCTTCCTTCTAATGCACACTTCTGTCTTCTGCTATTTACCCGAGCTATTTACAACACCCTTCACAACAATTCACTAAGATAACATCTGGGCATATTATAACACTCCTTATTACAGTAGCAAAGGTATATACTTAGGCCAATGGCTGTGGCCAGTTTGACAGCCAGGGGGGGTATACCACATGGCATGAACAGAGGTTCCAGGATGTACTGACCAAAGGCCAGAGAAATGACCGCCATGCCTGCTGGCCTGCAAGATGCAACCAAATATGTCAGTTTTTATATTAACATTAATTTATATAACCTTAGGTAACATTCATACATTCATAAAAGATTATCACTTATGTTTCCAGCCTTGTAGAGTTTTTTAGTCACCTTCAACTACAGCTTTGTTTCATTTTCTGCATCTTCACCTTTGGCAGTCTCATCAAGTCAGTACAGCAAAAAAGACATGGTTCTAGAGCTAGCACTGAAGGTGGTGACCAAAGTCAAAGCTAATACAAAGCAAATACATGACTTCGATTCATTGCAGCTTGACATGAAACAAAGAAATGCAGTAGTGGATATGGGAAAACAAGCATCTGTTAGATGGCAGCATATTTGTTATATTGTTATATTTGTTTTTGTGATATACATTTTTAAAAGCAAGTGAAACACAAAAGTCACAAAAATGAAATCAAAGGATCTCAGTTTGATGTGTTTTTAACCCAGCATAATACAGCTGATGCTGAAAGATCCAACATGACCTCATAGAAAGTTATGAAATATGTGACAAGACTTCTTAGAAAAAAATTACTTGGTGATGGTACATGTGTTAGATCATAAATAAGTTTTAAAAAAAACAACGTTTACTTATACAGCACATTTCACAGACTCTGGTCTATTTAAAAGCTTTCTCAAATAAATACGATCGTGGTGATTTCCAAGCCGGCTTTCACATCCCGCTGTAAGTCCCGCTGTAGCAGGTATAACGATGGGAGTTTGTTTGTAATATCAGATGGGCAACTTCCTAGACATAGCATTTCCATAATCACATCCTCATGTGTGCACAGTAGTGGGCTTGGTTTCAATATGAATGAAACAATACTGGCTAGTCCCAAAGGCTCAGCTTCTGGCTCATCTGTATTTCCCTCTTCATTTCCCACAGCAGTCACTGCAGCCGGGGAAATCGCTCTTTGTCCCCCCCCCCCTCATTCTTGTTTTCATTCTCTGCCTCCCTCTCTGTTCATTTCCCATGGTTTCCATTCAGTCCTTGTAGCCTGAGGGTAGCATAAGATTGTGCAGCTCCAAATAGCCAGTAGACTGGTTTGTACTGCTTCACCTTGTCTGTGTACACATCTACTTCCATAGAGCATTTTTTAAACTCTGTGGTACAAAGTAAACTTAGTGTCACATGCAGCCATTCAGCCTTTGCTCCCCACCAAACACAGTCTAAGAGATTATGTATACACCATTTTTTTGTAAAATAGAGACTACACAATATTTGTAACACATTAGGTGACTAGAGGCGTACGAGTTGTTTTCTGCTCCTCCACCAATTACAGCAGTGTTGACTTGTGTGATGGTGATGATGTAAAAGCCTGAGATTGAGAGAAATTATTTTTGTGCTGATGTGGTATAATCTAAACTAGAGCACCCAAATGCAATAATATATATAATATAATAATAGAAATAATACTGCCATTTAAATTCATCTATAGCTTCTTGTCTTTTCTTCTTAAACCTTTTCATCACCTCCATACAACTTGTTGTATTTTGTGTTGAATAAGTCCCAGTAACTGTGCAAACACATACAATTAGACAATTTATATAATCAGATTTATCGTCAACCCGTGGTTACATGTGACACCCCGAGTCTAAACTTTCAATTCAATTCAGTTTTATTTATACTATGTGGTCACTAATGAGCAACAGATCTGTAAATCAAACTGAAAGATAACACTTGTAAAGATGTTATGGCAAAGGTCCCATCAGGTTTGATGAGTAACATCAGCTTCCTTTTTGAATCATGTTAATACTCACTTAAGTCCAACATTTGCTCTTGTTTAGCTTTGTTTTTGGTCTCCACCAACTACTGACCTGTCACTGACTGCATCTGTCTCTCTGTTTGCTACCGAGTTAGCATTGTATTAAGGCTTTACACTGTTACAGAAAATAGCTGCTTACTGCTGGAACCAGTGACTCTTGCCACCACAAGCAACATCCTTATATTATACTTTGTGACAAAAAACAATGATTTGTAGAGCTAAAGATTCAGACTTAATTTGAGGCAAAAAGCATTACCTTATAGCAATGAGATCAGCCCATAATCTTATAAAAGCCATCTGAGGTCCAAACGCTTCCATTATGTATGTGTAATGGCCGCCAGACTTCTTAATGCATGTTCCCAGCTCAGCATAGGACAGGGCTCCTGTAGTGACAGAGGTGACATATTAATCCTAGCTCAGAAACAAGAGGCTAGGTACATACCAGTCCCAGGACTGTTAAACTGTCTCAGAGGTGTACTCTCTCCCCTTTGTGTCCATGATTAGAGCAATGTATTATTGCGCAAGCTGCCTCAGTTCTGTAGCAACATTTTTGAGTGGAAAAAAGCATCACATTTATCCATTTCAGTACAGGCTTGGCAACAGCCATTAGGTGCAGTGGGTCCTGGGTTCCTTCTGGTGCATGACAGTACCTAGCCTCATGCAGGCAATTCCTGGAGAATAAGGGAATTGATACCACTGACGTGACTGACCCATGCTTGCCTGAAATAAAAATCCATAGAACACCTCTGGAAAGTTATGTTTCGGTCCATCTGACACCATCGGGTTGCACCTCCGACTGCAACTCAGACCTCAGATCCTTTCGGGCTGTCTTTGACTTCAGCCTGGTGTAGGTTGATAATTCTCATTTCCATCGAGTGATGTGGCATTCTTTTGTAGAGTTGGATGTCTCGAGACCGGTCTTGGTCTCGAGACCACTTTTACGTGGACTTTTGTCTGGGTCTTGTCTTGGTCTCGACTGACTTTGGTCTCGGTCTTGGTCTCGCTGTTTCGGTCTTGCGTTCTCAAATCGACATAGTGTTCAGGAGATTTGGAGTCAACCATCAGCGGAGCGGGGGTGGTGGCTTACAGGGCTTAAGCCCGGGTCATTTTTTCAGAGTGTAATTTGTTAGTTAGATGCCTGCCTGACAACTGTATAAAACAAAAACAACACACGAAGCACAGAGCGTACCGTCGTAAATTCCCCCTAATTTTGGTATGATCCGAGCTCAGGCACTAGTCGACTGAGCACTAGTGATTAGTGATGTTCGATTCGTGAACGAATCGTT